AGCCTTTTTTTTTAAGCAGGCATAGCTGGAAGGCAAAACAGATCTCTAGAAATTAAGGATCCTATTTTTTTTTTTATATCAGATCCTGGATCCCATAAAGAATGAATCAACCTAGCTCCCATGGGTTTTTTTTTTCTTAATGGTGGGTGGGAACATTTCCATAACTTCTAGGTGGCCAAGAGCATGCTTTTTTTTTCCAAGTGTGCAGAGTTGAGTATCTCCCTGTAACTGCCATTAGCTATCCCTAAAAGTATATTTCCTACCTAGTTATTACACACCAAAGCTCTCTCATAATGCAAAGTAATTTCTGATACTCCCCAAAGGCAAAAAAATCAGATAAGGCAATACAAAACAGAACAGAGCCTTAGATTTTGAGAGGGATTTAATTTTTAATTTCTAAGGTTTCTTGAGGAAAACAGGTTTTTCCCAAAACACTGTCTGTGGTGCCTCCTCTGCTTTTCCCAAGGAGTCCCAGGCTGTTAGAGCTGAATATTTTTTTTTAATTAAACTGACTTTTAGCCACAGCCCTCTTTATAAAAGTCCTTTTAAATTTTTTTTTTTATGACTTTAGCCAGGCCAAACAGCCAATATTTCTGGCTCAGAGAAAGAAAATGTTTTTTTTAATCAACAAATAGTAAATATCATATAGATATCAAACCAGAAGGGACTCATTCCTTTTTTTTGGAATTGAACTTGGGCCACCATTGTAAAAAGGCACCTTAGCTACTGAGCTACATTGTATAACTTCCATTGCTCTTCCCAGAAGTCTAGAGCAGTCAGTTTTGAGTTTGCAAAGGTTTTTTTTTGCTCAAGATAATTTTTGGAGCTAGCTATGACATGAATCCCATTTTTGGAGCTTTTTTTTTCATGAATCCCAAAAATCTTTTTCCCTGGAAGGCGGAGATGAAGAGAAAGTACCTTTTTTTTGTTACAGGGTTAAGCTTCCAAGGCAAAACAAGATCAAGACCTCAGGCAGTTTTTTTGTTTGTTTCAGGGAACCACAGCAAAGTTTGTTATTGAACAGCTTGCTGCGCTGTCTTGAATAGTGAGCTTATGAGGTCCTAAGCCTGTGTGCTATCCAAAGGTACTCTTTATGACAGAATTTTTTTTAAAGACAAGGACACCAGATTTGGTACAGCTTAAGAATAGACTCAGAATCATTTTTTTTTTTAATTAAAACTTTACAGAGGAGATAATCGTGATTTTTACCATTCATTTAACCAGTTTTTTTTGATTGAGGCCAGAAGCCTGGTAAGAAATTCTTGCCCTTTTCCTGGCTTGTCAGTTTTTTTTGTTCTCCTTCCCTGAGTAGCCCCAGTGACCTTGCTTACCACACCATAGTTCTGTTTTTTTTACTGCATCACAAAGGAAAATAATGGAACCACAGGCAAAATTATCTCAATTTTGCAAGTTGCTGCCCAACCAGTTGTATGGGGGACCCAAATTCTAATATTTTCCATTCTGGCCAGAGTAAAATATGTGTGCTTTAAATAAAAATATTGAAATCTTTTTAGAAGCTTCTGCAGATCAGTAGGCATCTGTAGATGAGATTAATTTGGGAGCCTCATTGTTTTAAATGCACTTCAGTGCTTTTTTTTTTTGGAGTGTTCTATTGTAAGTTATCCTTAGTGAGATCTCACCATTTCTGTGATTTTTTTTTGCTTCTGGGGCCTAACATTTATGCATGTATAAGCCAGAAGGAACTCAGTTCTTTTTTTTTTAAGGATACCATTTTTACCCAAAATACTGGCTTTGCTCTCGGGTTCCCTTAACTTAGCCAGTAATTTTTTTTTCCTACCTAAGCACACAAGAAAAATGAAACAGAGGTAGAACACAAAAATCCCTGCGAATATATACACATATTTTTGAGATGGAGTCTCGCTCTGTCCCCCAGGCTGGAGTGCTTTGGTGTGATCTTGGCTTACTGCAAGCTCCACCACATGGGTTCATGCCATTCTCCTGCCTCAGCCTCCTGAGTAGCTGGGACTATAGGCGCCTGTCAACACGCCCGGCAAATTTTTTGTATTTTTAGTAGAGATGGGGTTTCACCATGTTAGCCAGGATGGTCTCGATCTCCTGACCTCGTGATCTGCCCGTCTCGGCCTCCCAAAGTGCTGGGGTTACAGGTGTGAGCCGCCGTGCCTGTCCCCTGCGAATTTTTAAAAGCCAAATTTTATAGCCCCTGCAATATTACCACTTATTTTTTTTTTCTTTCTGACCCACTCAGATGTAAGAAGCCTCTAACTGGATTCAAGCCAGTTAATTACTGGAACAGATCTGATCCTGGAACCGGTCCAGTTTCTGTCGATTCACTAATTGGCCAGCCCCCAGAATCACAGCAGATTCAGAGAGACTCCAGTGCAGCACATGGCAGAAGAAGATTAGAGACAAAGGGAAGTGAGGTACAGAAATTGGAAAGTGAGGTACACAAACAACTGGATTGGTTACAGGTTGGCATTTTACTTATTTGAACACAGTTTGAGCATTTGGCAATGTATGAGTGGCTTTTTTTTGGCTGCTGGCATTGGCCAAGACTCAGCCATTGTTACAGGTGCATACTCCTAAATTGGGTTTTCCATCTTGTCTACCTCTTAAGTTAGGTTGCAGCTTGTCCACAAGGACTCAAATATAGAAGTATGGAGTCCTTCTCAGGCCATTTTAGTTCGCTTTAACAATTATGGATGTCAAAACACACACACGCACACAAAAAAAGTTAAATGTAGAACCAGACTTGAAGCTCTTCTGTTAATTTTTTTTGTGTTTAGTTTTTGGAAAATAATGTCATCTTTCAATGGGATTAATGTTTTTATTTTTTTTTTAGTTTGCTCGTTTTGTTAGAATTTTATACTTTTCTCTTGATTTTATAGTTTTTTTTTTTTTATAAGCCTAAGTAGTTTGTTTGCATGTGTATACTTAAATACTGTTGTATAAATAACACTTCGACCAAGTGAAAATTATTTTTTTTTTCTAGAAAAGAGTTCTGTACACTTCTTGAGTTTTAGAAACAGCGAATTAGAATATGTGGTTGGACTTCAAAACGTTTGAAATCCATTCTTTTTTTTAACTTCTCTTTTTCTATATTATTTCAAGTACATTGTTTTGTAATATATTCATTATGTTAACAGGTCATAGTACTTATATTGAGGCTCAAAATTATCTCTAAGAGAAATGTTGATTTTTTTTTTGATTTTAAGTTGAAGTTAGTACCTCTTTCTGATTGATATTGACACTGTATAGTTTTTTTTTAATTATTTCATTTCCTAGAGTGAAATTAACCCTAAACAGAAAACATAGCCTATTTTTTTTCTCATTTTTATATTGACATTTGGAGGTCAATTCAGTCTTGTTTAACAAAGGAATTTTTTTTTGGTATTTATTTAATATATATTAATGATCTCCTTAAGTTTTAAAAAAGAGAAGTTTTTTTTTCTGTTTTAAGAGGAATGACTTTCACTATGCTGTGAAAATGAATCAGTAACAGCTGAAGATCTGATCTTTGAACGTGGCAGGGTTGGAACACTTTCAGAGTAGAAATCTAGCCATTTTTTTTGAAAAATCATAATGTTTCAGTTTTGAACTTTAATGTATTTGGAACATATGTAGTTTTTTTTTTTCTTCTTGCTGTCTCCTGCCAAACTAATTATGTATGCCACATTAATTTTTCTTTTTTTTTTGGGAAACTCAAGATATGGTAGAATGGAGAATTTCCTGATTGTTATTCACCATTTTTTTTGGTAGAGTGAAGATGAGAAGTATCAGAGAGATGTTATATCCTTGTAAAGAATTTTTTTTCAAAAATTAAAATATTTCATTCACTTAAAATTATTTACCGAGTACATGCTATATTTTTTTTCCTAGTATGTAGTGTGAGTGATACAGTGGTGAACAGGACAGATATAGCCCTTGTTTTTTTTGAGCTTATATTCTAATGGTGGTGGTGGGGGGTGGTGATAGGAGATGATGGGGATTTTTTTTTCATAGATGTCCTGAAGAAAATAAAACATAATAAGATAGAGTACCATAGCTGAGGCTGAAATTATATGAAGATCTGGGAGGAGTGAAGTCTAAATTTGGTCAATAGCCACTTAATTTTTTTTGGCTTGGCATATTCTAAGAACAGAAAGGCCACTGTGGAGGTAGCATAGAGAATGTGGGTGTTAGAGGCTGAAGTTGGAGAGACAGAGACCAGATTAAATAAGCCTTTTAGATGATTTTTTTTGTTGCAGTTTCTCTCTAAATGTAATAAGGATGCATGGAACTGCAGGAGAACAATTTTTTTTATTAAATACAGATATAATGGGGAGTCCTTGGAAACTTTTAAGTGGGAACATTTAATGATTTGACTTATTTAAGGAAGATCACTCTGGGGGCTGTTAGAAGAACTGAAAGAGGGTTTTTTTTTAAGCAGGATGCCAGATAGGGAGCTATTCCAACATCTAGCCAGAAGGTGGTGGTTTTTTTTTTTAGGGAAATGGAGTAGATTTGTGGATCTTGTCAGAAGTGATTGGCTTGGAGGTGTGCTCTTGTGCTAAACTGATTGTACTTGCTGATCAGTTGCATGTTTTTATACTCAAGCATTTTTTTTTCCGAAAGTTAATTCTTTGGGCATCATAGTTTAATGTGGACTCTGTAAGTTTTGAGAATGTAAAATTTTACTAAAAAATATTTTCGATGCTTGAGGAAAAACAGTTTCTTTAGCTTCCCTTTGCTGTATGGCATAAAGTATGCATCGTTCGGAAAAACATTAGTAACTTGAAATTCTGTTCATAAGTTTATGCCAGATTGTTCTAATTTCTCTACTTTAAAATATATAGTACATAATTTTTTTTAAAATAATTAAGGTGCCTTCACATATGTAGTTGAAAATAGTTTTTTTGAAGGAGGAGAAAAATGAACACAATAGCTACATGACATAAATAAATTTGTGTTTAGCTTTTTCCTTTTTTTTTTTTTATATATTTACTGGAGTTTTTTGTTTTTGTTTTTGTTTTTTTCCCTAGTCACTTTTTTTTAATGCTTGCAGATGATATGGCCTGTAATCCTAGAAATCCCAAACCAGCTACAGTGTTTAGTCATAAGAATATGGAACTAAATGTGTATGGAGATGATGTGGAAGTGGATTATAGTTTTTTTTAGGTAAATTCTTTAATCTAGCCACACTTTTGAAATGGCATTGTTACTTTTAAGCTCTAAAACAATGGCAGAATAAAATTGTCTTATTATTTTTCTTTAAACTTAATTGTCACTGTTTTTTTTATGTAACTGTCTCTGGAGGTCATATTAAGGCAATGACATATAAGTAAAATATTTTTTTTTTAACATTTTATGTTTTTATCTAGGACAGAAAAACTTTATATTGGCTTCAATGTTTTTTTTTTATAGAGAGGTTTAATGTGTCACCTTTCTTTTACAGTAAATATATTTTATAGTATTTTTTTTTTTTTCTTATTTGACCTAAATTATCAAGCTTATTAGTTTCAGTAATTGTATTATTTTTTTTAAAACTATAGTGACTAACAACTCACCTGTATTTCCACTACTTAGAAATAACCATTTTTTTTATGCTTCTAGTGTTTTTTATGACTATGTGATTAGAAATAAAAATGTAAATGTATTTTTTTTGTATTACATTGTGTTTTCTCCCTTTGAAACTTCATTTTAAATATAAAAGATGGTTTTTTTTCTTAATATTTGAAGTCTTCTTTTATGAAGTCCTCTTAGATAATACTTCCCCTTGGCCGGGCGCGGTGGCTCATGCCTGTAATCCCAGCACTTTGGGAGGCCGAGGCGGGCGAATTTTTTTTTCGGATCACGAGGTCAGGAGATCGAGACCATCCTGGCTAACACGGTGAAACCCTTTTTTTTTTAAAAATGCAAAAAATTAGCCGGGCGTGGCGGCGGGCGCCTGTAGTCCCAGCTTTTTTTTTGGCTGAGGCAGGAGAATGATGCAGAGGCGGAGCTTGCGGTGAGCCGAGATCGCTTTTTTTTATTCCAGCCTGGGCGACAGAGCGAGACTCTGTCTCAAAAAAAAAAAAAGATAATTTTTTTTCTTTTACCAAGCCTACCAAAAGTAAGACACAATTTCCTGTGTGTTCCCAGACCACTTTCGAAGCAATTTTAAAAGCGTATCTATCTCCTCCTAGACTGTAAGCTAAGAGGGCCTTTTTTTTTTATATCATATAGTTGGCAAGTACCTGTAGCCTGGTGTTAGGCACTCAAAAATGTTGGCTCATTGAATTAAATATGTATGTTTGACTTTTTACTTGTTTATGTAGTCATCTTAAATTTTTTTTCAAACATCCTCCTTCCTTGTTGGCCAACAAGAATTCCTGTTAAAACAATTAGCTTTTTTTTGTCTTGAAGGAAAAATGTAAATCAAACAGTTTACACACACACAAATGTGTATATTTTTTTTTTATACACTCATGTTCTAGGGAATAGATGAACAAGAAAACTGGATAGGTTTTCTACTTTTTAAATGTAGATATGCATAATATATGACTCAGCTGTTGGCTTTAAATCAGTGTTTTACTCTTTACAACTTTAAATATGCCTTCAAAGAATCCCAGAGGGATAGAAATTCTAGATTGTTTTTTTTAGTTTAAAGTGTTATGAATTTTTTACATGTTAAAGATACCACTAACAAAATCTTTTTTTTTAAGTGCATTCAAAAATTACAAATATGTAATTTTGGGGAAATATATATGGAACTTTTTTTTTCTTTTTCAAACTTTATTTTAAATTCAGGGGATACATGTGCAGATTTGTTACAATTTTTTTTTGTGTGATGCTGAGGTTTGGGATATGATTGAGCCTGTCACCCAGGTAGTGAACATGGAACTGTTTTATTTGATAGTTAATCTATAATTGACTAAGTAGTTGTACAAATTAGCTGCCATAGTGTAGTTGAATTTATTTAAAAATTTTTATATTTCATATCTTCCCACAGAATTGCCTATGCAGAGGGATTAATAATTTTTATTTTTTATTTTTTTAGAGCTTGAGTCTTGCTCTGTCACCCAGGCAGGAGTATAGTGGCCATATCATAGCTCACTGCAGCCTTGAACTCCTGGGCTCATTTTTTTTTCCTACTTCAGCCTCTTGAGTAGCAGGGACTACAGGTGTGCACCACCATGCCTTTTTTTTTTATTTTATTTTTCCAGAGATGGGGTCTTACTATGTTGTCCAGGCTGTTTTTGATTTTTTTTCCTCAAGTGATCCTCCTACTTCAGCCTCCTGAGTAGTTGGAATTACAGGTGTGAGCCATCAGCCTAGCCATATTAATAATTGCGCAGCTTTTTGGTAGTATTTAAAGGCAGCACTTTTTTTTGCATTTAAAGTTTTAAATTCAGAACTTATTTTTCTCCAAGGTAGTCTTACTTTGCTTGTTTTTGTTTTTGTTTTTTCATAAGAGACATAGTCTTTCTCTCTTGCCCAGGCTGGAGTGCAGTGGTGAACTCCTGGGCTCAAATGAGCCTTCTGCCTCAGCCTTCTGAGTAGCTAGAACAACAGCAACATGTTACCATACCTGGCTATTCTAAACATTTTTTGTGTGTGCATAGAAATTTTTTTTTACTATGTTGCTTAGGCTGATCTTGAACTCCTGCCCACAAGCAGTCCTCTTGCCTTTTTTTTACAAAGTGCTGAGTTTATAGACATGAGCCACCATGGCCTGCCTTCTTTGTTAGTTTTTAGTACTTTTAAAAATAGTAACAAAGTTACTTGGAGGTATATGTTTAAATGAATGTATTTTAATTAAGTTATATAATTTTTGGGTGTTTTATTTTCAGTTGATGCTGAGTAATATATGTTTTTTTTAGAAGGAACATTTTTGAAAGTAAAAAATAATTTGTCAGGATTTCCCAGGTTTTATTTCATCTGATTTTTCTTGTTTTTCCCCTCTTAGGTAACTGTTGAGAATTTTTTACGGGTATTAACTGGGAGGATCCCACCTAGTACTCCTCGGTCAAAACGTCTTCTTTCTGATGATAGATTTTTTTTTCTAATTTATATGACAGGTAATTTCATAATTTAGATTTTTTATAGTAGAATATTTTTTTTTTCTTTGAAAAGAAAGGCACGTGGAAAGAAATTTAAACACATTAAATGATTTTTGGTTAAAATGGTTTCTCATGTAGTTATATTTTCCATGATGCAGAAGTATTTGAGATGATATTTTTTTTTAGTATAACGTTTTGTGCCGTTGCTTATTATCTCTATTTTTTTTTACTATTGACTTTTTTTTCTTTAGCACCTTTTGCTTGGTATCCTGCTATAGCATCCTTCAGTTTTGTTCTCTTTTTTTTCATCCTGTGAAAGTGTCTAATAGAAATTGCAAATCTATCCCTCTTCTACTTAATTTTTTTTAATGATTTTCCATCTCAAATTTTGCTGTACATTAAGATTACCAACTTTAGATATTTTTTTTTTATTTTAGAATTCTTATTTAGTTTTCATCTGGGCTGGGATTCATGAAACTGTATTGTGGATATACTCCTCAGATATGAGATACAGTAGTCTTTTGATTATACTTTGAGGAATATTTTTTTTAAAGTGTACCATAATATAATATAGTTATCGTGTGTATTACACATAATAATATATTTTTTTTTTTAGCTATATTTTTTAACTTGTCTTAGTTCTTAATACTTTTTTCTAATTCTCTTTTTTTTTTGACTGTTCTGTCCTTCAAATATTTGTTTAAGCTCTTGCATTTGCTTATGACTTTTTTTTAGTCCACTTTGCCTGCTTGATTATTCCATATCGTTTTAGTTTTAGCTTAGGAGTCACTTCCTTCCATGACTTCCTTTCTAAGTCTAGGGTGACTGATGTTTCCAATTACCTGGGACAGTTGTAGTTTATACTTGTTGTCCCAGTGTTATTATTAATAGTTTCTGGTTTTTCCTTCTTTTTTTTTATGAAATAACAGCTTATATTTTTCCTATCCAAAGATATTTCTCTTCTCCCTGGCTGGTCTGGACTTTCCTCTATGCGCTTCCATGTTAATTTTTAGTTTCTTTCATAGCATTTTTTTTTTTATTACTTTATTGTTTGGGTATCTGTTGCCTTCACTGTATTTTGAATTCCAAGATTTTTTTTATTATATATTTGCTTTTTTTTTTTTTAAAATCACCAGTTGCCTGTCTTATAGTTTTTTTTTGTAAATATGAATGTTAATCAAAAGGTGTTCTATAAATTTTTTGGAGGGCATTCTTTTTTTTTGATGATAAAACAGGTATAGAATAATTCTTAGATATCACATGACAAGATAGTTAATGACCCCTACTTAGTGGCTTTTCTCTATCATGTTGCATTTATTTATAACATTCAAGACTTTTTTTTTAAACTTTATAAATTAACTCAATAGAGTTAATGAAGCCAGGAAAAATTTTATTTTTTTTTTTCTGAAAATTACAAGGAATTTTCAAGCTTTTGTTGCAAACAAGATGAAGTGCAGTTTTTTTTTAGGTTAGCTTTATTTGATGTATTAAACTAAAGGATTTATTATTATTATTTTTTGTTTGTTTCCTGATTCTGTTGGTACTCTTTCAGGAATTTCAGAATAACTGCAGGCTTAGATTTTTTTTTAGTAGTTTAAGATAGGATTTGATAAACTATGGCCTGTGAACTGGCTGCCTGTTTTTTTTTTTTTATAGAAACATGGTTGCATCCATTTGATTTTCACAGTTTCTATGACTGCTTCCATACTACGACAGCAGAGTTCAGTAGTTGTGCTGGAGACAATATGACTCACAAACCAAATTTTTTTTCTACCTGCTCTTTTGTAGAAGGTTACCAGGGTCTGTAAGAGAAAAAAAGGGTTTTTTTTTTTGATAATATGATAATAATATTTATGGAGGCATAGTATACATCAGGCAGTATTCTTTTTTTTTGTGTCTATTAACTCATTTCATTCTCACAGCAGTGCATTGACTTAGGTGCCGATTTTTTTTGTTGCTGTATGTGGTTGTGTGGGTTGTATAGTGCACCCAAGAATCTGGCCAGGTTTTTTTTTGGGAACTGAAATCTAGTATGTGCTTACACTAAGCAATCTGCTCTACCACAGGGTTGTATTCTAATGGGAGGGAGGAATACTTGTTTCTCCCACAAAGGCATAGTCAACTAACCTTTTTTTTGCTTGCAGGGCTGCATATATCCAGGAGGAAGGTGGGGAGACGGTTTTTGTTTTTTTTTTTTCTACTGTCATGCCCAGTGGAAGGTACCTTTTAAAAACCTGTACAAAGGAACTGTATAAGTAAGCTAATGATAGTGTTGCAGATACATTTCTCACTTTACGGCTGAGGAAGCTGATTTTTTTTAAGGTTAAATTATTTTCCTAAACTAACATGGCATAGCTACCATTTGAATCCAGTTTTTTTTCCTCTAGATTGCATACAAATAGCACTATCTTCTGGTCCACCTCTTGTAGTAAATTTTTTTTACTAGCTAGTGTCTCCAGCTTCTTTCTCACTAAAAATGTTTGCCTGGTATTTGTTTTTTTTTTATGAATGGAAACTCATTTCTGATATAATAATGGAGCCAATGGAAGAGCATATTTTTTTTTTTCTGGAATTGAATATTAGAAACCCTCTTATAGATATTATATCTGCTATTTTTTTTTTTTTATCATTCTCTTTTTAATTGGCGTAGTAGAAAATTCAATTTTTTTGTTTTCATTTTTTTTTTTTTAGAGTATAAAATAAGTGATGTCAAAAAGTAATGAAGTAAGTGTATATGTTTTTTTTTATGCAGTTTGCATTAAAAAATGTATCTATTGATCTTTTTTACTCTTTATACAAGGACATGGTGGAAATGGTTTCTTAAAATTTCAAGATTCTGAAGAAATTACCAACATAGAACTTTTTTTTGCTTTTGAACAAATGTGGCAGAAAAGACGGTAATTAACAAGTTCATAAGCTATTTTTTTTTCTAATTTTCACATGGTTAGTAGGTTTGTTGTTTTTATTTTATAAGATTTTTAATTTTTTTTGACAATTTCTTTGACTCTTTTAAATTTACATTTGTTATTTCCATTGAACTGGGTTTTTTTTAAAAGAAAAACAGAGTTATTCTGTAACATGAAATAGTTAACCTTTTAAGATTCTTTTTTTTCTTATTTAGCATCTTTTTTAGAGGAAGTAAGTGCCCCTCCAACCAAGTTACCTATTATTATGGAGATTATGAACATTGTGTATGTTTCAACTTGTACCTGTTCTTTCTAGCTCATTTTTTTTCCCCTAATGTGATAGCCATATTTCTTCTATGGAAAAAAATTACTGAAATTATGGTTAGCATAAAATTTGTAACTTAACTCACATTAAGGATGATTGTTAGTAACCCTTGCTAAGTTTTTTTTTAGTTGGAAGCTGTCATACATATGACTGTAAGTGAAAGAACTTTTAACTTGATTTTTTTTTATAAATACTTACAGGCTATCTTCTATTCCTGTGGCAGAAAGTGGAATATGATGCCTTCAAAGTGTTTACAATCTAATGGAAAAGAGAAATATGTACACAGTGATGCTACAAAATTTTTTTTTTAGTGTTAAAATAAAAGCATAAGCAATATGTGGAAGTGTTGAAGAGGAAGCTTTTTTTTTTCACTGATTATGTCCTATTCATAGCTTACAGTTAGAGAATGCATACTGGGTGCTTTTTTTTTTATTTTGCATCTATTGTCTCATTTAATTTTACAACTCTATGGGCTAGATACTATTACTGTTCCCTTTTTACAAGTGAGTGAACTTAGGCACAGAAAGATTCAATAACTTGCCGAACTTTACACAGCTAGTAGTAACTTGCCAAACTTGACACAGCTAGGATTCATGCCCAAATGGTTTTTTTTTAGAGCTTGCTCTCTTATTTACTCCACAACCTCTCCTGACTTTGGATGTTTCTTTTTTTTTGGAGCCTCCACATATTTTGCCACCGAACAAATGTGTCATGTTAATTGTGCCTCCTATCACTTTCTTGGATGATATTGTAGTTCAAGATTCAATGCTTTGTTTTCTAGGTTCCTTGTTAGCTGTTTATCTAGACCCAGTGTCTGAGAAAAAACTTCCCAGAAAACATGTCTCCTCTCTACTTTAACTTTTGCCAGCTAGGCAACTTATTGTGCAATAGATACCTGATTATATTATTCTTTCATTAAAACAACAACAAAAACAAAAACCTTTCATGGTTTCTCCACTCTTCAGGATAAGATTCTGACTTCATATGGTATCCTTTACAAATTGTTCCTACTCTAGCTTTTTGAAACCAATTTTTTTTTTTTCTCCCAAATTTACTTTAAGTCCTAGGTACATAGATCTATTCGCAAGCACTTTTTTTTTTTTACATTATGTGCTTTTCCCTCTGCTGGAATGTTATCTTCTTTTCTCTGAAATTTTTTTTTACACCCTTTATTGCCCATATTGGGCATCACCTTTCTCTGATCTGCTTTTCTTTTTTTTTTTCCTTAGTCCTTCCTCAGTGTTCATTCAACAGTTTGATTTTGTTAGACTCTAGGTTTTTTTTGGGCAGGGACTGTTGTATCTCCAGCATAATATCAGGCACATTGTAGGCACTCATTTTTTTTTTGTAGTACTCATCACATTCCAATTTAGTTATGTGTTTGTCTTTCACTTAGAGTTTTTTTTCTTTTAGTATAGTTACTAATTCATACTTCTTTTTCTGAACCTAGCTCAATTTCTTTTTTTTCATGGATGCCAAATAAGTGCTTGTTGAATGGAATATTCATTTAGATTCTGAATTTTTTTTTATAGACAAGGGAGAGGGAAAAGAGCTGGGAGAGCCACCTTGGGCACAAGCAATTTTTTTTTTGGTTTCCTTGGACAAATTTATTCCTTTAAGTTTTCTAAGGTCAAATTTCTGTTGGTATTTTTGCTGAACACTTTTAGCTAATGAAATGACTAACATATGATTTAAATGTCTTATTTTTTTTTTGTAGAAATATTAGTCTATGATTTACAGCATGATCCTTGTCAAAGATGTTATCACTTTTCTTTCAGCTACAATGAGCTACTGTTTATTATTGATACTTGCCAAGGAGCATCCATTTTTTTTCGATTTTATTCTCCTAACATAATGGCTCTAGCTAGTAGCCAAGTGGGAGAAGATTTTTTTTCGGTATGTGCATTTTCCTCATTTGTAAACTGTGTCTTTGGAATGTGCACCTATTTTTTTTTCCAATTAAATGCTTTAAATGCTTTATGAATGTATCTGTTCTTTCTTAGACTAATTTTTTTTAAGGAAAATTTGGTTACATTTAAAACATTTTGTTATAATGACACTGTTAAAAATTTTTTTTTTCACCTTTTCATAGCATCAACCTGATCCTGCAATTGGAGTCCATCTTATGGATTTTTTTTCATTTTATGTCTTGGAATTTTTGGAAGAAATTAACCCAGCTAGCCAAACTAATTTTTTTTTCCTTGTAAGTATTCACTTGATTTGATTATAGCATATAGGTATGCTAACCTTAATTTTTTTTGAAGTGTATTATTCCCTGTACTCCTAGAGGATACTGTTTTTTGTGTTGAATTATTTTTTTTAAAACTGTTTAATAGCTACCTTTTACCTGTATATTAGCATTTCTCTGTCTCTCTTTTTTTTGAAGCCTGATGTTTTCCTTTACTCATTTTCTTTTCCTTACCAGAAACGTACTTTTTTTTTTTTCACCTTTTGAAATTCTACATATTCTTCAGGGGCCACCTCAGATTGTATCTCCTTCAGGAAATCTCCCCGAATTCTTCCCTGTGGGAATTTCTTGTTTTTTCTTCAGAACCTCTTTTTTTTTTTAATTCTCCTTAGTAACATTTACCACAGTCTTTTATTGACCTTACTAATTGAATGTAAGTCTTTCTCACTGAATGGGAAGCTCCTGGAAAAGAGAGACCTTTTCTTACATATTTTTTTTTGCCCTATAATTTATAGTATAGTCATTTGACAAGGCTTGTTGAACTTAATTTAGTTTTTTTTTTCTTGGGTTTTTTTGTGCTGATTCTTTTAATTAAATCTACTTTGAAGTTGCTTTTTTTTTTAGGCATAACGAAAAGCTTGAAACAACAATTCTAGACTGGATAATTTACTATGTGTCAATTACTTTCATTCTTTTCTCCATTAATTTATAGTTTGTTTATTCTTTCACAAACATTTTTTTTTTGCTAAGTGCCAAGCACAGGCTGTTCCTAATGAAAGAGGCAGATGCCTCTTTCCTTAGTTCCTGCTTTCATGGGACTTAGAATGAAGGGGAAACTGAGTAGACAGGGCTCTGTCTTTTTTTTCTTCAGCCAAGCAACTTTGCATTGATCTGTTTAATCATACACAAATCTTTTAAGTAAGTTCTCATTTATTAAGGGGGTTTTACTGAAAGATTCTGAAGCCCACTGCTATAGGCTGTGAAATTTGATAGAACTACTATATTAGTCCATTTTCATACTGCTATGAAGAAATACCCGGTTTTTTTTAATTTGTAAAGAAAAAGAGGGTTAGTGGACTCACAGTTCCACATGGCTGGGAGGCTTCATAATCATGGCAGAAGGTGAAGGAGGAGCAAAGGCACATCTTACATGATGGCAGGCAAGAAAGCATGTGCAGGGGAAATGCACTTTATAAAACCATCAGATCTCATGAGAACTCACTCACTATCATGAGAATAGCATGACGGTAACTGCCCTGCATGATTAAATTACCTCCCACCGGGTTTTTTTTATGCCACATGGGAATTATGGGAGCTACAATTCAAGATGAGATTTGAGTGAGGACAGAGCCAAATTATCTTATTCTGCCTCTGGCCCCTCCCAAAGCTCATATTCTCATGTTTCATTTTTTTTCATGCCTTCCCGATAGTCCCCTAAAGTTTTAACTCATTTCATCATTATCTCCATTTTTTTTGTCCAAAGTCTCATCTGAGACAAGACAAGTCCCTTCTGCCTATGAGCCTGCAAAATCAAAAGCAAGTTAGTTACTTCCTATATACAATGGGGGTACAGGCATTGGTTAAATACACCTGTTCTACTTGGGAGAAATTGGCCAAAATGAAGGCACTACAGGCCCCGTGCAAGTCAGATTTTTTTTAGGGCAGTCATTAAACCTTAAAGTTCCAAAATGATCTCCTTTGACTCCATGTCTCATATCCAGGTCACATATGCAAGAGGTGGGCTCCCATGGCCTTGGGCAGCTTTGCCCTTGTGGCTTTGCAGGGTATGGCCTTCCTCCTGTTTGCTTTTACGGGCTGGTGTTGAGAGTCTGTGGCTTTTCCAGGTACACAATGGAAGCTGTCGATGGATCTACCATTCTGGGATCTGGAGGACGGTGGCCCTCTTCTCACAACTCCACTAGGCAGCACCCCACTGGGGACTCTGTGTGGGGACTCTAACCCCACGTTTTCCTTCTGCACTGCCCCCCATGGGGGCCCTGACCCTGCAGCAAACTTCTGCCTGGACATCCAGGCATTTCCATACATCCTTTGAAATCTAGGTGGAGGTTCTTAAACCTCAGTTCTTGACTTCTGTGCACCTTCAGGCTTAACACCATGTGTAAGTTGCCAAGGCTTGGAGCTTACAACCTCTGAAGCTATGGGCCAAGATGTACTTTGGCCCATTTTAGCCACAGCTGCAGTGGCTGGGACATGGGACATCAAGTCCCTATACTGCACAGTGCAGGGGGTCCTGGGCCCAGTCCACACAATCATTTTATCCTTCTAGGCCTCAGGGCTTGTGGTGGGAGGGGCTGCTGTGAAGGTCTCCGACATGCCCTGGAGACATTTTCCCCATTGTCTTGGCAATTAACATTTGGCTCCTCGTTACTGACGCAAATTTCTGCAGGGGGCTTGAATTTCTCCTCAGAAAATGGGTTTTTATTTTTTTTTGCATTGTCAAGATGCACATTTTCTGAATTTTTATGGTCTGCTTCCCTTTTAAATATAAGATCCAATTCCAAACCATATCTTCGTGAATACATAAACTTGAATGATTTTAATAGCACCCAAGTCTCCTCTTGAACACTTTGCTGCTTAGAAATTTCTTCCACCAGATACCCTAAATCATCTCCCTCAGTTTCAAAGTTCCACAGATCTCTAGGGCAGGGGCAAAATGCTGCCCGTCTTTTTTTTTAAGCATAGCAAGAATCACCTTTGCTCCAATTCCCAGTAGTTCGTCATCTCCATTTTTTTTTACCTCAGCCTGGGCTTTTTGGTTAAAACCATTCAACAAGTCTCTTAAGAAGCTCCAAACTTTTTCACATCTTCTTGTTTTCTTCTGAGCCCTCCATACTGTTCCAACATCTGCCTGTTACCCAGTACCAAAGTTGCTTCCACATTTTCAGGTATCTTCATAGCAGTAACCCACTCTGCTGGTACCAATTTACTGTATTTGTCCATTTTCATACTGCTATGAAGAAATACCTGAGACTGAGTAATTATTATAAAAAGAAAAAAGAGAGATTTAGGCTGGGCTCAGTGGCTCACGCCTATAATCCCAGCACTTTGGGAGGCCGAGGTGGGCGGATTACTTGAGGACAGGAGTTCAAGACCTTTTTTTTCAACATGGTGAAAGCCTGTCTCTACTAAAAATACAAAAATTAGCTGGGCATAGTTTTTTTTGCCTGTAATCCCAGCTGCTCAGGAGGCTGAGGCAGAAGCATCACTTCAACCTGTTTTTTTTAGGTTGCAGTGAGCTGAAATTGCGCCACTGCATTCCAGCTTGGGTGACAGAGTGAGACTCTGTCTCAATATGAACAAACAAAACAACAACAACAAAAAAAGAGGTTTAATGGACTTATAGTTCCACATGGCTGGGCAGGCTTCACAATCCTTGTGGAAGGCAAAAGAGGTGTAAGGGCATGTCTTACATGGTGGCAGACAAGAGAGCTTGTGCAGGGGAACTGTCCATTATAAAACTTTTTTTTCTCGTGAGACTTACTCAGTCACGAGAACAGCATGGGAAAGATTTGTGCCCATGTTTTTTTTGCCTCCCACCAAGTCCGTCCCATAACATGTAGGAATTATGGGAGCTGCAATTCAAGATGAGATTTGGGTGGGGACACAGCCAAACCATATCAACTACTTTCTAACTTCATTTTGAAGATTATATATTTTGATGCTTATTAAATATTGATATGAATTTGAATATTAAAACTTGTGATAATGCTACTTTAACTGTAAAAAAATTACAGTCACTTAAGTTCCAATTCAATTTAAAAGTTTTTTTTTTTTTTTGGATTGTACATTGTATATTTTGTGTAAGGCATGACATGCTGTCTCAAATTTTTTTTTGTACCTTGCACATTGAATATCTAATGATTGTTTAAAAAATACTTCTGTTGATTTTTTTTTAAAGATTAAGGAAACTAATTTTTTTATTGCTCGTAATTGCTATTTAGTTTTTATTTTTTTTTCCTCACTAATATCTCATCTTACCCTACCACCTTTATTTTGAAAATTTGATGATTTTTTTTGTAATCTTATTCGATAAGAATGATTCATTTTCTGGCAGTTTACTAGGGCAGTGTTTTTTTTTGTCTCTAGCTCAACTGTGTAATAATACCTATTTTCTGTTAGAGTATATGTATTTTTTTTTGTTTGTTGAGTATCAGTTGTATTCACAGTACCATGTTAGTTGCTTTAGCAGTAGCAAAATTTGAAGACCTGGTGTTAGCCCCTTTAAAATTCATAGTGTCATTGGTAACAGTTGTTTTTTTTATTTATAAAGTATTACTTGTTATGTGAAATGTCTGGATCCTTCAGGTAATTTTTTTTTTTTTGTGAACATACAAGTCTTGCCATGTACCTTTATTATACTTTTAGTATTGCACTTTTTTTTTTTATATTTGTGATGTTTCCTCAAGGCTTTGAGCTTCTTGAATAACGAGGTGTAAGGACCATATTATATTCATCTTACACTTCACAGAACTTAATTACAGTACCTGGTTTGTTTGTTTTTTTTCATTTGAATATCTACTAAATGAATGAAAAGACATGACAACAATGCACATTTGTTTTTTTTTTTTAAATATAGTGAGATTAGTAATAACTTTTTCTTGGAAAAGGTAAGTATAGGTTTGAAGGAAGGGAAGTATAGCCTACTCTAGGGAAATAAAATACCCGCAGACACGAGGAACTTTTTTTTATAGATGATCCTTGTCTTTGATAATGGCTTGAAGGAAGTATGGTTTGAAGGAATTTTTTTTTAGCGTACTCTAAGGAAATAGAATATGTGTAGATACACAGAAGTTGGAATAATTTTTTTTTCTTACCTTTGATAATGGCCTGGCTAGAGTGTGGACATTCTGTAATTGAAGAAGTTTTTTTTAAATTAAACTGAGTAATATGAGACCTGTGGGTCATTGTGTTAATTGAGCTAAGGAAATCAGATTGATGTGATAAAAATTCTTAAAGAAAGAAGTGACTTCATAATAAGGGGAAGTATGTTTATTTTGGCAGCAAAGAATAAGATAATATTATTCAGTGTTTCCCTGCCCATTTGATTTTTTTTTTAAATGTTTTCTTTTGCTGGTACCTAAGAAAGCCCATCAAGTTGCTCATACAGGAATACCCAAGAGATCTTCAGAATTCTTGGGACTTCAGTTTTATCTCTGCTTATTTTATCTGTCATTTTTTTCCTCCAGTCTTCTATCTGTTATTCCTGTTTGGCATTTTACTTTTTTTTCTTTTTTTTTTTGTATCCTGAGTTCTTCTTTGTGTTTCCTTGTACTGCTTTCCTGAATAGGGACGACAAGGATTGCTGGCAGTGTGGTATTAGATAAATTATTTCATCTCTTTGAGCCTTAGTTTTTTTTTGAGATATAACTTTTGTATACCTCAGAGTTATTGGTAGGCTTAAATGAGAATATTTTTTTTTTGCTTAGCACAGTGCTTGGAACACTGTGTTTTATAAATTGTAGCTGCTTTACCCTTCTCTACCTTGCTGCCTTTATATTGGTGATTGCCAGTGCAGACAGTCTTATCTTCACAGTTTTTTTTGTGCTGTGTGCCTGGACCTTTCCTGTCAGGCCTATAATATTTTTCCTCATATATTTTTTTTTTCAGCCAAACTAAATCATTTGCTTTGCACATCTCTGCAACTGCTCTTTTATTTTTTTTTTTCTTATTTCCCACCAGCAAGTCCTCGTTTTCCTTCAAAAAAAAAAAAAAAAAATTTTTTTTCTTAAATTTCACTGTCTGTTTTTTTCCCATCCTCAAACTCCTCCAAAACTGTACAGAAGTTTATCCTTTCTTGAAGTTGAGACTTTTCCATTTATTTTTTTTCTAACCTTGTTATTTGTTGTGTATTCAGTCTTAAACATAGGTCAAGGATGCCTTGAGGGCAGGCATCGTGTCTTAGCAATCTTTCATATCCTCTGTGGGAAAAGGTAAGTCTGAATTCAATTGTAAACAACACTATTTTATGCTTTGCTGGAGGTGAATGAATATATTGTCTTTGTCCTTGGGTAATTCACTTGGACATCGAGTATCAGTGATAAGATTAACAGAAAATTACTGTGATGTCTGTTTTGCCAGGTGAAGTTGGTGTTTTTTCAGACTGAGCACTGACAGGTTATTTGTTGGAGGTGGCTTGGGCTTTTTCTTCATTAGATAAAACTAGAAAGTGCTTTTTGATTGATATTATAAAATGCTACATAGGAGTACATTAGAGAGCAAGGAGGGGTATGCCAGTAGAGAGGGCTGTGCTTTCAGTTTTCTGAAATCCAGAGCAACCTTCCACCTTAAATGTTTTTTTACATATTGGAGCCTCCATGGTACTACTTTATTTTTGAATTTAAAGTTTGAATTCAAAGGGCATGATTCTTACAAAACGTTTGAAAACCACTCCAGTAGGAGCATTCCCCACATGTGGATGGATACGACAAAGAAAAGAGCAATTCTGCTTTTTCATTCATGGTGAGTGTGAGGATCTTAGCAGTTAGGAGGTTCACAATACACTTTGAAGCATATAATTCAAGAAAGTGAGTAATGCCTTTTCGCCACAGGTGGCCAGCTACTTTTTTATTTACGTGTCCTAATTCTGCATAGTTTTCTTAAATTCCGATAAGCATTATGATAGGAATGAATACCCTGTTAATCCTTTAAGCTCTTTGGGGAATGCATAGGCTTCTTTAGGTGGGAAGGAGTTTTAAAACATTACACTATAGTTTTAGTGTATTATGTCATGGATAATAAACATTGTATATTGTGTGA